GTTTTGCCTAGAGGGATTCTCTATGTTTTGAATCTAATTACCCTGTAAGGTATTTACCATCCTGATTTTACAGAGGTGATTCTTTTTTACTTCTCTTAAAATCCTTCTTTTCAGAAACTGAATGCTTTTTCATTGTTCTTAAGACCCAAGGTTTTGGGTTTGTGTTTACCTGTGCAAATTGGTGAGGATTTTTACCAAAGCTTCCCCAGGAAGTGGGGTGCAAGGGTTGGGAGGATTTTGTGGGGAAAGACATTTCCAAATAATGCTTTCCTAATAAATAAGCCCAGATAAACGTTTGGTGGTGGCAGTGGAAGTCCAAGGGCAAAGGGTAAAATAGTTTGTACCTTGGGGAAGTTTTAACCTAAGCTGCTAAAAGTAAGCTTAGGAGGTTTTCATGCAGGTCCCCACATCTGTACCCTAGAGTTCAGAGTGGGGAAGGAACCTTGACAACCATCGGAGCATTTCTTACGCTGCAGTGTTCTCTGGGTGCCAAAAATAATTCAACCCGCATCAGCCAAGCCCTCCCAGCTCTTTGCCAGCCTTTCATCTAAGGGTGTGTCAGTGCTGTGAAGTAAAGGAGAGCCATTATTATTACTTCATATTTCATGAGCTCCTCGAGGCCCCCCCTGAGACAGGGGCCACATTGCGTCAAGGGCTGAGCAGACATGCAACAGGACACAGTCCCCTCTCCTGAAGGTGATAGAATCTGGGGCATAATCCTGGAATAGAGGTAAGGCCAAGGAGCATCATTCGTGGTCCAGGACCCCATTGTGCTAGGGGCTGTACAAACACATAAGGAAACTATGGTTCTGGTCTCAAGTAGCTTACAATTAAGGAAATCTCTGCAACAGTCTCTTTTTTTGAAAGAAAGAAAGAAAGAAAGACAGAAAGACAGAAAGACAACCACCCTATGATAAGTTAAAAGGAAACATGAGCTTCCTGACACATGTATGGTAAGTTCTCATTCCATGATTTAAATCAATTAAAACTCTTGTCATTCTTGTTCAGAATGCTCACCACCCTGTATAAAGAGGATAACATGGGTGACTTTTCCAGTCCATATTGGGGTAATTATAATTGCAAACTCAGACTGAGGGCACCTTAGATATGTAAACATTTTTAACATAATGGAGATAAACAAGATTTTGCTCTCACCACTGGGCGCACTGACATCCCATATGTATAAGGATAGACACCTGTCCAGCACAAAGGTGTTACAATAGAGGATGTTGAAGAGAAGCTATTAAAGTTAGACATTTTTAAAGAAGGAGGTCCAGATAACTCAAATGCAAGAGTTTTACAAGAGCTGGTTGAGGAGGTCACTGGACCATGGCTGGAAGCTGAAGCTCGAAAAATTCAGGCTGCAAATAAGGCGTAAAATATTAACAGGGAGTGTGATTAGGCATTGGAACCATTTGCCAGCCGTGGTTGTGGATTCTCCATCACTGAGAAGTTTTAAATCAAGACCGGATGTTTGTCCAATGTCTATGCTTTAGAAGTTATTCCGGGTTAGTTCTGTGGCCAGTGTTGGACAAGAGATCAGATGAGGTGATCAGAGTGGTCCCTTCTGGGCTTGGAATCGATGAAAGTCGAGTGTATTCGATTGGATTCAAAGGAGAAAGAAGATGCATCACAAAAGTAGCAGGAAGCCACGACTAAGCGAAGACACAATGTCAGATGATAAGGACCCCAGATATGTCTTCTAGCAGGACTAACAGAGTGGAGACTGTCCTACCGCTAAAATTACTGGGGTGTTCATTATTCCAACATCAACTCCATGTTTATAGAAGAGTGGAGGGGAGCTGCAGATTAGCAGGAATGGAGAAATACCCATAGCAGGTCAGACCACAGATCAGCCTAGGCCAGGATCGTGTCTCTGACAGTGAGCACCCCAAGATATCTCAGAAGAAGGTGCAAGAACGCCTGTGAAGGGGAATTTATGGAAATACATAAGAGTCCATTTTAGAAAGCAAATAAGCCAGTTCTTTGTTGAATTGTTTTTTTCCCATTGGAATTACGTGGGTCAGGCGCAAGAACTTACAAACAGCATTTGCTCAGACACTGTCACGTGTGTTTCCTTAAAATAATTATAACTAATTGTTAAAATACTTATTAAAAATCTTGATGCAAGCAAGTAATTGAAGGATCTGTAGGTGGAGGAAGTTTGCATTGTTAAAAATCACATCTGCATATCACTAGCCTGTCTCATTTCTGGGCACCCAGCCCTGGTAAGCATATAAAAAATCTCCCACATAATATCTGATCCATGCCAGTGTTTACGGATAGCATCAGTCATCCCTGACTGAAGGGGGTGCCAATACTGTGGAAAATCAAGATCTTTTCTCGTCACGGTTTCTTCTTTTGCTCAACCGGACATTGATGTTCTAGCACGGCCAAGCTCCTGTGAGCTCTCTTTAGTACCCACAAAAATAGAAACTGAATTGGAGGTGGGGATGGCTAACTTAACAAGGCCTCATTTCAAAGCTTTGCCCACCCCACCCTCCCGGCATGGTGGCTTTTGCAGCAGGTCCTTTCCCAGCTGAATCAGAGCTCGGGGGTACCACACAGTCCTTTCTCTTGACATACTGATTAGTTGTTAGGGTCGTATATAAGTCAAATCCCCAAAGAATCAGGACAGTCCCGATAAAATCAGGACATTTGGTCACGCTAAGCCTGACGCACCCTTCAGTAAAGAGAAGGTGCAGCGCAAGGCTGGTAGCTGGTGGCAGTAGTTGAATATTGCCGAATATTAGGATACCAGCTTGTGGGCATCGGCAGGATTCTCAGGCCGAAGTGCTAAAAAGGCATCAGTGGGACCCCAAAATCATGAGAATTAAAAAAAACAAAATTGTTTTGCGGCCCAGCTGCTGCAACGGGCAGAACCCCTCTGAGAGCTGAGCTGGTCCGGCCCCCACTGGTGCAGCGCACCTGGATACCCCCTGGGAATTCAGGCCCTGTCGCACACACACAACAGACAGCAGACGGGGGAGGCGCTGAGCAGGGGACACAGGCTGCTGCTGTCTGACTGTTTCAGTCCCACAGAGGCAGAGAACCGGCCTGTCTCCCCTGTACCCAGCTGCCTCCGCTCCTCCTTGCTCCCTCTGTCCCCATGACTTCTTCTGGGCACCAGCCACCACTTCCTAGGGAAGGGTCTTTTTAAAAGGAAACCCAAAGAAGGAGAATCTGGCTCTGAGCGCATGTGAGTGCTGAAGAGAATGAAAGACCAGGAGGCTGACGATGTCGTAAATCGTAGCTTTTATTGCTCTACATTAAAAGACGGGATGGGAAAAGAGAACAAGGGGGAAAATCTCCCACAGGAAAGAGTCTACAGCACAAATCTTACAGGATCTCTCCCAGTACAGCTGATATCCCAGGGCACAAAGACGGTCAGTTACTCGTTACAAGGGAAGGCATTGACCTCTTGATAGGAGAGACAGAACAGTGCGCAGTATGTGGACAGAGACTGGAAACGTTCCCAGAAACACGTCCCACTGCAAGGGGAATGGCAGAACAGCGGAGCGAGGAGAGAGCTACTGTGCGAGGGGCTGTAATTCATTTTCATTCCATAGTCGTCGGTGGTTCCGTGGGCCCTACCAGAACTTCTTTTCTTTGCAGCAGTGCTCCACAGGTGGGCATTTTGGAAAGCACGGAGGACATGGAGGACACTTTTCAGGGCACGGGCACGGGCATGGATGCACGCATGTAGTGCACTTCTTCACGCAGACTTTACAGCAAGGATCCACGCATTTTGTCACACACTTGGTCACACAGACTTTGCAGCAGGGATCCAGGCACTTGGTAGTACACTTGGTCACACAGCAAGGAGGAGGCAGGCAGGTCTGTTTGCATTGATGCTGGTAAACCATCTTCCTGGACGTGGGCAAACCTGAAAGACAAAGGAGATTTCAGGGTTTGCAAAATCAAGACAAACATCATCCTCTTCTCCTGAGCATCGTGCACCAGAACATTCAGCAGAATCAGAGGCTGGTGCACGAGGAAGACTTCTCCACAGAGAGCATTCCCATGGCAAACCACTTCAGAAAGAACAAACATGGGGGAGGATGGACTGATATCCCATTCCCATGGCCTGCAATGGGATTCGTGAACTAGCCACAAGATAGTTTAGCAAAACATTCTTCTGAGCAGCAAGGACAGGAAAGCCAAAAATTAAGCCCAACCTTAAAGTTAGCTCCCAATCATCAGAAGGAGACTTACCCAATTCACCGACAGGAGCTAGTAAAGATTTCGAGTCAATTGAGAAGCATTGTGATGCGAGCCTTTTTATATGGTTTCCATGGCCTGGCATCCGGAAACGAGAGATCCTAGAGGTATGCAAATACGATTTACATAAAGTAACTTGCTCCAATTAAACATCCTTCAACTATTTGTTTGCATCATTATTTTTAATAATTAGTTTAAGTGGACACACGTGTCATCTTTGAGGAAACGCCTGACCTACAAAATTCATATTAGAAATACAATTCAATAAACAACTGCATTGTTTGCTTAAAAATGGTCTTTATGGATTTCCATTCCTTCCTTCTGCAGGCTTTTGCATCTTCCTCTGAGGCATCTGGTACTGCTCACTTGCAGAGAGAAGATAGTGGCCTGGATGGATCTCTGAGCTGATCCACTAGGGGTATTCCTCTGCTCCTGCTAATGTACATCTCCCGTCCATGATACACCACGCATGTCTCTATGGGCACAGAGCTGATGCTGGGCTCATGGATTCCTTGGTAGTTTTAGCAGTAGGACACTCCAAATGCAGCCTACTCGCCGCTGTTACTCCTGCTAGAGGGAATATTGGTCAGGTGTTTCCTGAGAAGAAGCTTGGGTCTTTGTTATGTGACATTGTGTCTTTACCTCATGTTGCCTTCTTGCTATTTTGCACTGAAACTTCATCCTAATTCTAATATTTTCTAATATAGATTGTAAACTCTTCCGATGGAGGTGCGTCTTTATACGTATGAGATGCCAGTGCCCCCAAGGGTGAGAACTATCTCCTGTCCATCTCCATTCCATCAAAACATTTACAGATCTAAGAGGCCATCAACGTGAGTGTGGAATTGTCATTATGCTAATATGGGCAGGGAAAGACACCCAGCTTATCCTGTGTACACAGGGCAGTGACTGTTGTGAAGAAAAAAACAAGGGTTGAAAGTTTTAATTTTTTTAGTCAGAAAATGAGGAGCTTTCTATGCAGGTATCAGGAAGATCATGTTCCCTTTTCCTCCTTAAAGCCAACACTTGTGGGTCATTAAGAGCCCATCCTAGGGCATCTTGCAGACCCTTTCTTTTGGTGTCACTTGCTATTCCTCCTTAGTCAATTAACGGGCACTGTGGAGTCTCATGCTGCAGGGCCCTGAGGGGGTGTGATTCTCCTGTGGGTTCAGATGGCAGCAGCTGATTCAATACCCTGTGACTCAGGCTCTGACGCTGTCGAGACGGGTGTATCTTCCTCTTTGGAATTCCCGTGTGTTGTTCTCACCAGCTGGGCCACAGGGTTCCAAGAACCAGGTCTCCCCTGGAAGAGGTAAGGGCTGGAAAATATCTCTGGATTCTTCTAGTAAAGGAATCTGTCCCCTAGTGAGTCACAATAATTCAATACCTTACAGGAGGCAGAGGGATCTCCTGGATATGGCATTGCACGGGGAGACAGGAGAACGGGACTATATCCCTGCCTCTGCCCACCTGTGTGATCTTGGACAAGTCACTTCACCTCCCTACACCTCTTTCCCCTCCAACGTTTTATCTGTCTAGACGGAAATCTTTGGGGCAGGTGCCATGTGTTTGTACAGCACCTAGCAATAAGTTTGCTCTCGTTGTTGGGGCCTCTAGGAGGTACAGGTTTCACAGTAGCAGCCGTATTAGTCTGTATCTGCAAAAAGAACAGGAGTAGTTGTGGCACCTTTGAGCCTAACAAATTGAGCATAAGCTTTCGTGAGCTACAGCCCACTTCCCACAAAAGCTTATGCTCAAATAAATTTGTTAATCTCTAAGGTGCCACACGTTCTCCTGTTCTTTTTCTAGGAGGTTCAGTCATTTAAATAATGAAATAAAAAAAATCGTCTACCATTTTTTTGTAATATAATGGACATGGACAGGTGATTGCTTTCCCCTCTGGAGTCGCTGGCATCCCATATATATCAAGATGGACCCTGCCACAGCAGCTTGCCATCTGTATTAGAAAATACAAGAACTGAAATAAAATTTGAGAGCAAAATGGCAAGAAGCCACCCCTAAGTGAAGACACAATGTCAGATAATAATGAGCCAAACACCATATCAGTAGGAATCTCCTGACAAATATTTATTCTAGCAGAATTAACAGGGTGGGCTGGATCTGAAGTATCCTTCTGCTAAAAATACTTGAGAATCCATGAATCCAAGGTCACCTCTGTGTCTATAGCAGCCGGGGTGGTATATCATGGAGGGAAGTTGTACATTAGCAGGAATGAAGAAATACCCATAATGGCTCAGAGCAAAGATCCATCTCGCCCAGTGTCCTGTCTCCTACAGCAACCAGTACCAGATGCCTCAAAGGAAGATGGAAGACAGTCTGAAGAAGGAATTTATGGAAAAGCAAAGAATCCTGGTGTTAATTGAATTGCCTTTTTGTAATGTCGACTCTGTGGATCAGGCAGAGAACTTCCAAACAGCATTTCCTCTAATATGTAACGTGCATCCGCTTAAAATAATTATTTAAAATAATTAGCAACATTAGTGATGCAAATGAGCAATTGAAGGCTGTGTGATTCGAGCGAGACATACCTGTGGGGTGCCTCATTTCCGTGGAGCAGGCCATGGAAACAATATAAAAAGGCTCATGACCCAGTGCTCCTCAATTCACTCAGCTTCTTCATTTGCTCCAGTTGGTGACTTGGTAAGTCTTGTTCTTAATATTGAGAGCTAACTTCATGGCTGGGCTTCATTTCAGGCTTTCCTTTCCTCGCTGTTCACAAGAGCACTTTGCGTAAGTATCTTGCTGTGATTTCTCTAATCCCATTGCAGGGTGCAGGAAGGGATTTCAGTCCATTCTCTGTCAGGGTTGTTCTTTCTCAAGTGGTTTGCAATGGCAATGCTCTCTCGACAGAAATGTTTCCCACGGCACCAAGCTCTGTTTGTGCTGAATGTTCTCCGTCCATGATTTACGCAGCCCTTTCTAAATCAGGAGATTCAATTAGTGGGTGTGACAGGGAATTAACGGCGGGGCTCAGAGTTTCAGAAGAGAGAAGTGGGAAAGGAAAACCTCTAGGCGGAGGGAGCGGTCAGAGATTTGAGGGCAAAGGAGTAAGATGCGTCTGCAAGTAACTCAGACTGACACGATATGGAGGGGATATAGCCCCTGCAGTCTCACTGCCCGATTCCTCACGAGCGAAAACCTGCTCAATTCTGTGGATGTCAATGGAGCTCCACTGATTTACACCAGCTGCGGAGCTGGAGGGGAACAGAAGAGAATCTAAAGGCCTTGCCTGCGCACACATCCTCCCAGTGAAAGGAAGGCAGTAAGTAGATTCAAGGAATCACCACCCATAAAAATCAAGCTGCTCTGTACTGGAAATGCAACTCCAGATACATTCGTGCAGCCTCAGGACTTGGGAAGAGAACATTTGCACAAATGCACTTCCATTTGCCACCTGCACGTTCAGAAGCACTGAGTGGTTTATTTAACTCTTCTAGCAGAAAAAATATTTGAATGCAGTAATGATCAATGGTTACCAATACTGCTCAACCCATTCTGTATCTCTCGCCCTGCCATTAATCTCAGGATAACTCTTTCAATCTTAGAGTACATTTTGCACCGAATGTTTTGCTTTCTTCTGCAGAGATATTTTACTGGTCAGAAGAGTGTTTTGCTTAGGTATCTTGAGGTTATTTCACGAATCCCATTGCAGACCTTTAGAATGGGATTTCAGTCCATCCTCCCCTATGTTTGTTCTTTCTGAAGCGGTTTGCAATGGTAATGCTCTCTCTGGAGAAGTGTTCCCAGTGCACCAGGCTCTGATTCTGCTGAATGTTCTGGTGCATGAGGCTAATGAGAAAATGATGCTGTTTGTTTTGATTTTGCAAACCTTGAAGCCTACTTTGTCTTTCAGTTTTGCCCACGTCCAGGAAGATGGTTTACCAGCATCAATGCAAACAGACCTGCCTACCTCCTCCTTGCTGTGTGACCAAGTGCACTACCAAATGCCTGGATCCCTGCTGCAAAGTCTGTGTGACCAAGTGTGTGACAAAATGCGTGGATCCTTGCTGTAAAGTCTGCGTGAAGAAGTGTACTACATGCGTGCATCCATGTCCATGCCCGTGCCCTGAAAAGTGCATTCCGTGCCCTGAAAAGTGCATTCCGTGCCCTGAAAAATGTCCCCCCGTGCAGCACTGCTGCAAAGAAAAGAAGCTCTGTTAGGACCCATGGAACCTCGGACATCTAAAGAATGAGAATGAATTACAGCCCCTCGCGCCGAAGCTCTCTCCTCGCTCCGCTGGTCTGGCATTCCCCTCGCAGTGGGACGTGTTTCTAGGAACGTTTCCACTCTCTATCCGCACACTGCGCACCGTTTCTGCTTTTCCTCTCCAAAGGTCAATGCCTCCCCTTGTAACGAGAAACTGACCGTCTTTGTGCCCCTGGGATGTCAGCTGTTCCTGGGAGAGATCCTGTAACACTTGTGCTTTCAACTCTTTTTCCTGTGGGAGATTTTCCCCCTTTTTTCTCTTATCCCATCATGTCTTTTAATGGAGACGTGCTCCAATAAAATTTGTGATTCCTGGCATCGTCTGCCTCCTGGTGTTTCATTCTCCTTTGCAGAAGGACCTGCTGCAGAAGTCTCCATACTGTGGGCCAAAGCTCTGAAATGAGGTCTTATTAGGTCAGCTGAACCTACCTCCAATTTATTTTTTATTGTGGTAGATACCGAGTAGACCCCACGGGGACTTGGCCGTCCTAGAAAACCAGTGAAAGTCAAGGAAACAAGGCCTCTTTTAAGAGACTAGATCTTAATCTTCCACAGAATTCATGCCTCCTTCAATAGGGGGTTACTTATGCTATCCATAAGCACAGCCATGGATTATACATTATGGGGGAGACTTTTGCAAGCACCACGTGCAATCAGGCATTGCCTTTCAAAATGTACACCTCTGTTTCACATTTCCTGGAAACTCGATTGCTGTATTCCCCTATCTACATTTTCACCTTTAAATTGCATAAGGTGAGAAGAGACCATTGCCATCTAGACTGACACCCTGTACGATAATGCACAGAGAATTTCACCCAGTCACCCCTGTATACTTATACCCCATATCTTGTGATTCTCTAAGGCGTCTCTGCCAGAAGAGTCTTGATCTGAAGACTTTTAGTGATGGAGGATCCTCCCCCTTCCCTTGCAATGTTTTTCCAATGGTTAAGCAACCTCCCTGTCAAAAATTCACACATCTCACATCCCTTTGCCAGTTATTTTTCCTCCTCTTGCTTAGCTCATGTTCTCCTGAGCTTTGTTCCTTATTTCACTGACGGTTCCAGAGGTTTATCCTTTCACAGACTGTTAATTCTCTTATGGGATCAGGACCTTCTCATGTAGGATGTAACTGACTGCGTAGTCAACCCTCAGATATTGCTCACATCCTAGACACTCACTCTGTACAATTCCACCGTCACGTCTTCAGCACTGGAATAATTTCATTCCCCAGCTTCCATCCAACCTCGAATTATTGTTGCGTTGAAATGTAACTTGCTCTTCCTGGAATCATCTGCCTCCTGGTGTTTGCTTTGCCCTCTCTTTGTCTCTTTAATCACTGCTTGGCTCCTGTCTCACCCATTTCAAGCTCTCTTGTGTTTTGCTTTAAAAGACCCACATAGCATGAAAAGAGGGGAAAGAAAAATTCCGAGATAAGCCTGCGTGACTTCGTAGAAACCCACGAACCTAAAAAGAAAGAAAGGAGAAAAGACCATTGTCATAAATATAAAGGGAAGGGTAATCCCCTTTAAAATCCCTCCTGGCCAGAGGAAAAACCCTTTCACCTGTAAAGGGTTAAGAGGCTAGGATAACCTCGCTCGCACCTGACCAAAATGACCAATGAGGAGAGAAGGTACTTTCAAAAGCTGGGAGGAGGGAGAAAAACAAAGGGTCTGTGTCTGTCTGTGTGATGCTTTTGCCGGGGACAGAACAGGAATGGAGTCTTAGAATTTAGTAAGTAATCTAGCTAGAGATGCGTTAGATTATGATTTCTTTGAATGGCTGAGAAATTAAGCTGTGCTGAATAGAATGAAGATTCCTGTCTGTGTGTCTTTTTGTAACTTAAGGTTTTGCCTAGAGGGATTCTCTATGTTTTGAATCTAATTACCCTGTAAGGTACTTACCATCCTGATTTTACAGAGCTGATTCTTTTTTACTTCTCTTAAAATCCTTCTTTTCAGAAACTGAATGCTTTTTCATTGTTCTTAAGACCCAAGGTTTTGGGTTTGTGTTTACCTGTGCAAATTGGTGAGGATTTTTACCAAAACTTCCCCAGGAAGTGGGGTGCAAGGGTTGGGAGGATTTTGCGGGGAAAGACATTTCCAAACAACACTTTCCTAATAAATAAAGCCAGATAAACGTTTGGTGGTGGCAGTGGAAGTCCAAGGGCAAAGGGTAAAATAGTTTGTACCTTGGGGAAGTTTTAACCTAAGCTGCTAAAAGTAAGCTTAGGAGGTTTTCATTCAGGTGCCCACATCTGTACCCTAGAGTTCAGAGTGGGGAAGGAACCTTGACAACCATCGGAGCATTTCTTACACTGCAGTGTTCTCTGGGTGCCAGAAATAATTCAACTCGCATCAGCCAAGCCCTCCCAGCTCTTTGCCAGCCTTTCATCTAAGGGTGTGTCAGTGCTGGTGAAGTACTGGTGAGCTGTTATTATTACTTCAAATTTCATTAGCTCTTCGAGGCCCCCCTTGAGACCGGGGCCACATTGCGTCAAGGGCTGAGCAGACATGCAACAGGACACAGTCCCTTCTCCTGAAGGTGATAGAATCTGGGGCATAATCCTGGAATAGAGGTAAGGCCAAGGAGCATCATTAGTGGTCCAGGACCCCATTGTGCTAGGGGCTGTACAAACACATAAGGAAACTATGGTTCTGGTCTCAAGTAGCTTACAATTAAGGAAATCTCTGCAACAGTCTCTTTTGAAAGAAAGAAAGAAAGAAAGAAAGAAAGAAAGACAGAAAGACAACCACCCTATGATAAGTTAAAAGGAAACATGAGCTTCCTGACACATGTATGGTAAGTTCTCATTCCATGATTTAAATCAATTAAAACTCTTGTCATTCTTGTTCAGAATGCTCACCACCCTGTATAAAGAGGATAACATGGGTGACTTTTCCAGTCCATATTGGGGTAATTATAATTGCAAACTCAGACTGAGGGCACCTTAGATATGTAAACATTTTTAACATAATGGAGATAAACAAGATTTTGCTCTCACCACTGGGCGCACTGACATCCCATATGTATAAGGATAGACACCTGTCCAGCACAAAGGTGTTACAATAGAGGATGTTGAAGAGAAGCTATTAAAGTTAGACATTTTTAAAGAAGGAGGTCCAGATAACTCAAATGCAAGAGTTTTACAAGAGCTGGTTGAGGAGGTCACTGGACCATGGCTGGAAGCTGAAGCTCGAAAAATTCAGGCTGCAAATAAGGCGTAAAATATTAACAGGGAGTGTGATTAGGCATTGGAACCATTTGCCAGCCGTGGTTGTGGATTCTCCATCACTGAGAAGTTTTAAATCAAGACCGGATGTTTGTCCAATGTCTATGCTTTAGAAGTTATTCCGGGTTAGTTCTGTGGCCAGTGTTGGACAAGAGATCAGATGAGGTGATCAGAGTGGTCCCTTCTGGGCTTGGAATCGATGAAAGTCGAGTGTATTCGATTGGATTAGAAGGAGAAAGAAGATGCATCACAAAATAGCAGGAAGCCACGACTAAGCGAAGACACAATGTCAGATGATAAGGACCCCAGATATGTCTTCTAGCAGGACTAACAGAGTGGAGACTGTCCTACCGCTAAAATTACTGGGGTGTTCATTATTCCAACATCAACTCCATGTTTATAGAAGCGTGGAGGGGAGCTGCAGATTAGCAGGAATGGAGAAATACCCATAGCAGGTCAGACCACAGATCAGCCTAGGCCAGGATCGTGTCTCTGACAGTGAGCACCCCAAGATATCTCAGAAGAAGGTGCAAGAACGCCTGTGAAGGGGAATTTATGGAAATACATAAGAGTCCATTTTAGAAAGCAAATAAGCCAGTTCTTTGTTGAATTGTTTTTTTCCCATTGGAATTACGTGGGTCAGGCGCAAGAACTTACAAACAGCATTTGCTCAGACACTGTCACGTGTGTTTCCTTAAAATAATTATAACTAATTGTTAAAATACTTATTAAAAATCTTGATGCAAGCAAGTAATTGAAGGATCTGTAGGTGGAGGAAGTTTGCATTGTTAAAAATCACATCTGCATATCACTAGCCTGTCTCATTTCTGGGCACCCAGCCCTGGTAAGCATATAAAAAATCTCCCACATAATATCTGATCCATGCCAGTGTTTACGGATAGCATCAGTCATCCCTGACTGAAGGGGGTGCCAATACTGTGGAAAATCAAGATCTTTTCTCGTCACGGTTTCTTCTTTTGCTCAACCGGACATTGATGTTCTAGCACGGCCAAGCTCCTGTGAGCTCTCTTTAGTACCCACAAAAATAGAAACTGAATTGGAGGTGGGGATGGCTAACTTAACAAGGCCTCATTTCAAAGCTTTGCCCACCCCACCCTCCCGGCATGGTGGCTTTTGCAGCAGGTCCTTTCCCAGCTGAATCAGAGCTCGGGGGTACCACACAGTCCTTTCTCTTGACATACTGATTAGTTGTTAGGGTCGTATATAAGTCAAATCCCCAAAGAATCAGGACAGTCCCGATAAAATCAGGACATTTGGTCACGCTAAGCCTGACGCACCCTTCAGTAAAGAGAAGGTGCAGCGCAAGGCTGGTAGCTGGTGGCAGTAGTTGAATATTGCCGAATATTAGGATACCAGCTTGTGGGCATCGGCAGGATTCTCAGGCCGAAGTGCTAAATAGGCATCAGTGGGACCCCAAAATCATGAGAATTAAAAAAAACGAAATTGTTTTGCGGCCCAGCTGCTGCAACGGGCAGAACCCCTCTGAGAGCTGAGCTGGTCCGGCCCCCACTGGTGCAGCGCATCTGGATACCCCCTGGGAATTCAGGCCCTGTCGCACACACACAACAGACAGCGGACGGGGGAGGCGCTGAGCAGGGGACACAGGCTGCTGCTGTCTGACTGTTTCAGTCCCACAGAGGCAGAGAACCGGCCTGTCTCCCCTGTACCCAGCTGCCTCCACTCCTCCTTGCTCCCTCTGTCCCCATGACTTCTTCTGGGCACCAGCCACCACTTCCTAGGGAAGGGTCTTTTTAAAAGGAAACCCAAAGAAGGAGAATCTGGCTCTGAGCGCATGTGAGTGCTGAAGAGAATGAAAGACCAGGAGGCTGACGATGTCGTAAATTGTAGCTTTTATTGCTCTACATTAAAAGACGGGATGGGAAAAGAGAACAAGGGGGAAAATCTCCCACAGGAAAGAGTCTACAGCACAAATCTTACAGGATCTCTCCCAGTACAGCTGATATCCCAGGGCACAAAGACGGTCAGTTACTCGTTACAAGGGAAGGCATTGACCTCTCGATAGGAGAGACAGAACAGTGCGCAGTATGTGGACAGAGACTGGAAACGTTCCCAGAAACACGTCCCACTGCAAGGGGAATGGCAGAACAGCGGAGCGAGGAGAGAGCTACTGTGCGAGGGGCTGTAATTCATTTTCATTCCATAGTCGTCGGTGGTTCCGTGGGCCCTACCAGAACTTCTTTTCTTTGCAGCAGTGCTCCACAGGTGGGCATTTTGGAAAGCACGGAGGACATGGAGGACACTTTTCAGGGCACGGGCACGGGCATGGATGCACGCATGTAGTGCACTTCTTCACGCAGACTTTACAGCAAGGATCCACGCATTTTGTCACACACTTGGTCACACAGACTTTGCAGCAGGGATCCAGGCACTTGGTAGTACACTTGGTCACACAGCAAGGAGGAGGCAGGCAGGTCTGTTTGCATTGATGCTGGTAAACCATCTTCCTGGACGTGGGCAAACCTGAAAGACAAAGGAGATTTCAGGGTTTCCAAAATCAAGACAAACAGCATCATTTTTTCATTAGCATCATGCACCAGAACATTCAGCAGAATCAGAGGCTGGTGCACGAGGAAAACTTCTCCACAGAGAGCATTCCCATGGCAAACCACTTCAGAAAGAACAAACATGGGGGAGGATGGACTGATATCCCATTCCCATGGCCTGCAATGGGATTCGTGAACTAGCCACAAGATAGTTTAGCAAAACATTCTTCTGAGCAGCAAGGACAGGAAAGCCAAAAATTAAGCCCAACCTTAAAGTTAGCTCCCAATCATCAGAAGGAGACTTACCCAATTCACCGACAGGAGCTAGTAAAGATTTCAAGTCGATTGAGAAGCATTGTGATGCGAGCCTTTTTATATGGTTTCCATGGCCTGGCATCCGGAAACGAGAGATCCTAGAGGTATGCAAATACGATTTGCATAAAGTAACTTGCTCCAATTAAACATCCTTCAACTATTTGTTTGCATCATTATTTTTAATAATTAGTTTAAGTGGACACACGTGTCATCTTTGAGGAAACGCCTGACCTACAAAATTCATATTAGAAATACAATTCAATAAACAACTGCATTGTTTGCTTAAAAATGGTCTTTATGGATTTCCATTCCTTCCTTCTGCAGGCTTTTGCATCTTCCTCTGAGGCATCTGGTACTGCTCACTTGCAGAGAGAAGATAGTGGCCTGGATGGATCTCTGAGCTGATCCACTAGGGGTATTCCTCTGCTCCTGCTAATGTACATCTCCCGTCCATGATACACCACGCATGTCTCTATGGGCACAGAGCTGATGCTGGGCTCATGGATTCCTTGGTAGTTTTAGCAGTAGGACACTCCAAATGCAGCCTACTCGCCGCTGTTACTCCTGCTAGAGGGAATATTGGTCAGGTGTTTCCTGAGAAGAAGCTTGGGTCTTTGTTATGTGACATTGTGTCTTTACCTCATGTTGCCTTCTTGCTATTTTGCACTGAAACTTCATCCTAATTCTAATATTTTCTAATATAGATTGTAAACTCTTCCGATGGAGGTGCGTCTTTATACGTATGAGATGCCAGTGCCCCCAAGGGTGAGAACTATCTCCTGTCCATCTCCATTCCGTCAAAACATTTACAGATCTAAGAGGCCATCAACGTGAGTGTGGAATTGTCATTATGCTAATATGGGCAGGGAAAGATACCCAGCTTATCCTGTGTATACAGGGCAGTGACTGTTGTGAAGAAAAAAACAAGGGTTGAAAGTTTTAATTTTTTTAGTCAGAAAATGGGGAGCTTTCTATGCAGGTATCAGGAAGATCATGTTCCCTTTTCCTCCTTAAAGCCAACACTTGTGGGTCGTTAAGAGCCCATCCTAGGGCATCTTGCAGACCCTTTCTTTGGTGTCACTTGCAATTCCTCCTTAGTCAATTAACGGGCACTGTGGAGTCTCATGCTGCAGGGCCCTGAGGGGGTGTGATTCTCCTGTGGGTTCGGATGGCAGCAGCTGATTCAATACCCTGTGACTCAGGCTCTGACGCTGTCGAGACGGGTGTATCTTCCTCTTTGGAATTCCCGTGTGTTGTTCTCACCAGCTGGGCCACAGGGTTCCAAGAATGAGGTCCTCCCTGGAAGAGGTAAGGGCTGGAAAATATCTCTGGATTCTTCTAGTAAAGGAATCTGTCCCCTAGTGAGTCATAATAATTCAATACCTTACAGGAGGCAGAGGGATCTCCTGGATATGGCATTGCACGGGGAGACAGGAGAACGGGACTATATCCCTGCCTCTGCCCACCTGTGTGATCTTGGACAAGTCACTTCACCTCCCTACACCTCTTTCCCTTCCAACCTTTTATCCGTCTAGATGGAAATCTTTGGGGCAGGTGCCATATGTTTGTACAGCACCTAGCAATAAGTTTGCTCTCGTTGTTGGGGCTTCTAGGAGGTACAGGTTTCACAGTAGCAGCCGTATTAGTCTGTATCTGCAAAAAGAACAGGAGTAGTTGTGGCACCTTTGAGCCTAACAAATTGAGCATAAGCTTTTGTGAGCTACAGCCCACTTCCCACAAAAGCTTATGCTCAAATAAATTTGTTAATCTCTAAGGTGCCACACGTTCTCCTGTTCTTTTTTCTAGGAGGTTCAGTCATTTAAATCATGAAATAAAAAAAATCGTCTACCACTCTTTTGAGACATGGACAGGTGATTGCTTTCCCCTCTGGGGTCGCTGGCATCCCATATATATCAAGATGGACCCTGCCACAGCAGCTTGCCATCTGTATTAGAAAATACAAGAACTGAAATAAAATTTGAGAGCAAAATGGCAAGAAGCCACCCCTAAGTGAAGACACAATGTCAGATAATAATGAGCCAAACACCATATCAGTAGGAATCTCCTGACAAATATTTATTCTAGCAGAATTAACAGGGTGGGCTGGATCTGAAGTATCCTTCTGCTAAAAATACTTGAGAATCCATGAATCCAAGGTCACCTCTGTGTCTATAGCAGCCTGGGTGGTATATCATGGAGGGAAGTTGTACATTAGCAGGAATGAAGAAATACCCATAATGGCTCAGAGCAAAGATCCATCCCGCCCAGTGTCCTGTCTCCTACAACAACCAGTACCAGATGCCTCAAAGGAAGATGGAAGACAGTCTGAAGAAGGAATTTATGGAAAAGCAAAGAATCCTGGTGTTAATTGAATTGCCTTTTTCTAATGTCGACTACGTGGATCAGGCAGAGAACTTCCAAACAGCATTTCCTCTAATATGTAACGTGCATCCGCTTAAAATAATTATTTAAAATAATTAGCAACATTAGTGATGCAAATGAGCAATTGAAGGCTGTGTGATTCGAGCGAGACATACCTGTGGGGTGCCTCATTTCCGTGGAGCAGGCCATGGAAACCATATAAAAAGGCTCATGACCCAGTGCTCCTCAATTCACTCGGCTTCTTCATTTGCTCCAGTTGGTGACTTGGTAAGTCTTGTTCTTAATATTGAGAGCTAACTTCATGGCTGGGCTTCATTTCAGGCTTTCCTTTCCTCGCTGTTCACAAGAGCACTTTGCGTAAGTATCTTGCTGTGATTTCTCTAATCCCATTGCAGGGTGCAGGAAGGGATTTCAGTCCATTCTCTGTCAGGGTTGTTCTTTCTCAAGTGGTTTGCAATGGCAATGCTCTCTCGACAGAAATGTTTCCCACGGCACCAAGCTCTGTTTGTGCTGAATGTTCTCCGTCCATGATTTACGCAGCCCTTTCTAAATCAGGAGATTCAATTAGTGGGTGTGACAGGGAATTAACGGCGGGGCTCAGAGTTTCAGAAGAGAGAAGTGGGAAAGGAAAACCTCTAGGCGGAGGGAGCGGTCAGAGATTTGAGGGCAAAGGAGTAAGATGCGTCTGCAAGTAACTCAGACTGACACGATATGGAGGGGATATAGCCCCTGCAGTCTCACTGCCCGATTCCTCACGAGCGAAAACCTGCTCAATTCTGTGGATGTCAATGGAGCTCCACTGATTTACACCAGCTGCAGAGCTGGAGGGGAACAGAAGAGAATCTAAAGGCCTTGCCTGCGCACACATCCTCCCAGTGAAAGGAAGGCAGTAAGTAGATTCAAGGAATCACCACTCATAAAAATCAAGCTGCTCTGTACTGGAAATGCAACTCCAGATACATTCGTGCAGCCTCAGGACCTGGGAAGAGAACATTTGCACAAATGCACTTCCATTTGCCACCTGCACGTTCAGAAGCACTGAGTGGTTTATTTAACTCTTCTAGCAGAAAAAATATTTGAATGCAGTAATGATCAATGGTTACCAATACTGCTCAACCCATTCTGTATCTCTCGCCCAGCCATTAATCTCAGGATAACTCTTTCAATCTTAGAGTACATTTTGCACCGAATGTTTTGCTTTCTTCTGCAGAGATATTTTACTGGTCAGAAGAGTGTTTTGCTTAGGTATCTTGAGGTTATTTCACGAATCCCATTGCAGACCTTTAGAATGGGATTTCAGTCCATCCTCCCCTATGTTTGTTCTTTCTGAAGCGGTTTGCAATGGTAATGCTCTCTCTGGAGAAGTGTTCCCAGTGCACCAGGCTCTGATTCTGCTGAATGTTCTGGTGCATGAGGCTAATGAGAAAATGATGCTGTTTGTTTTGATTTTGCAAACCTTGAAGCCTACTTTGTCTTTCAGTTTTGCCCACGTCCAGGAAGATGGTTTACCAGCAGCAATGCAAACAGACCTGCCTGCCTCCTCCCTGTGTGACCAAGTGCACTACCAAAGCCGGATCCCTGCAAAGTCTGTGTGACCAAGTGTGTGACAAAATGCGTGGATCCTTGCTGTAAAGTCTGCGTGAAGAAGTGTACTACATGCGTGCATCCATGTCCATGCCCGTGCCCTGAAAAGTGCATTCCGTGCCCTGAAAAGTGCATTCCGTGCCCTGAAAAGTGCATTCCGTGCCCTGAAAA